TTGTTGGGCTTTCCCTGTCTATACATAACCACTGTAAACGGAATACTCAGAATCTAAGCTCTAACGGCACCCCTCCCCCACCTCTGATCTTTTTATTTTGTTATTTATAATCCTTGGATTACTCGGGCTAATGTGCTTCATAGCTGCTTGTTTTAAGACCAGCTTGTAAACACACTATTCTCTTAAAAAAATATTTTCTTAAAATTTTTTCAATAGTTTTATTGGCATATAATCCACGTCATAACAATTCAATAGTTCATTCACATCAAGAAGAGTTGTACAATCACCACAATTTTAGAACATTTTCCTCATTCTTATACTCATCATTAGCTCCCCACTTCCCCCAACCACCCCTTCCAAACCGACAACAAACCATTAATCCCTCGAGGAATTAATATATATACTGTCTCTATGGATTTACCTATCCTGTATTTCATATTTAGAAAAACATTAAAAAAAACTAATAACAAAGTAAAACAGATAAAAACCTCAATTGAAAACAAAGTAGAAAACATTAAAAATGAGAACAACTTTAACTGGATCATAAAGGAGATCAAATAGGGTGCTACATTTTAACCTGACTGCATCTGCAACAAACCACTTTCCAATACATTTTGCATGACAGCAAAACTAGTCACATCCCTGATCCATGGAAAGAGGGGATTCACCAGGGGCTTAATCTACATGTTTCTCCTCCACTTTTCAATTTTTTAAACAGAATTATTTTTAAAGCTGGTCTAAAGGGAGAACAAGATAATAGATTTTATCCTAAATTTGCCATATCAACTTTACAATGTTGTCTGATAACAAGACTGTTTACATCCCTCAACTAAGATCAGAGGGGATTCATGAGGCTTGAGGTATGGACCTTGCAAATGGATTTTAGGCTTCCATTGTAGTCCATAGCCCTCTACAAATCACATGTTCATAATTTAAGCTCTGATACTATTCCCTCCTTTAGATTTGGATTACATTATTTTCAATCCTTGGATCACACAGCCTGGTGTGCTTGGCACTATTCTTACTGCTATCTAGCACCAACTGATCTCTGCACCAGTTACAGTACCCTATCTTCCATACTCCCTTCATGGCATTGAGCAGGGCCGAATAACTGATTGTTCTTAGGGCTCAAGATTGAGAGCTCAAACCCATTCATACATCTAAGGTGTATGTGTGTGTAGTGGTTTTGTGTTGGGCTGCAACCTAAGATATTAGCAGTTCAAAACCACCATGTGCTTCTTAGGAGAAAGGGCTTTCTACTCCTGCAAAGAGCCAGTCTTGGAAGCTCACGGGGGTAGTTCTACTCAGTCCTATAGGGCCACTAGGAGTTGGCACTGACTTGATGGTAGGTGAGGTTTTTGTTGTTGTTCCACTTTAGTGGCAGCTTTATCAGATTTTTGAAAGATACTAGATGTGACCTCCATGGGACCTTTGGTAATTCTAATAGTATTATTAAACTAGGCACTGATATAAAATTTAGAATTTTGTTGATAGAGGAATATTGGCATTTGGGAAAGCTTTTCAGACTAAACATCTTAAAAACAACGTAGTGACTGAATCTTTAAGAAAACGAGTTAGACACAAGCACAAAGTTTTTAACACCCATACATATGGCAGGACTATGACATCTTAGAAAGCTAAGAAAATATGAAATCTTAGACCATTCCTGGGCACCTCAAAAGCAAAAGGTTTGAAGCAAAATGCAATGACTTCCAATTCCATGACCTTAGATTAGCCTGCCTTCCTTTCTACCCAAGGTGTTACAGCCTTAAGTCCAAAAGTGTATTCGTTCCTTTAATCTACAACAGGTTTAAGGTAAAGTCCAGTTCACTTGGTGGGTTTTCCGACTCAGATCTTCCTGATGTGGCCTTTATAGTATGGTGTGGACAACATTTATAAAGTCCAGGTAGTCTACAGTACAGGGCCTGGATCCCCAAGGGCTGAAAATAAACTGTTAAACATGCATGATTAGCCATAGTATCGGGAGGATTCTGAGGGGACCATACAGGCAATGTCAAGCATTTTTCCCACAGGAAAGTTGCCCATCCCACAACAGAAGTGAGCTCATCTTCAGACACATTCCTCTAGCATCCCCCCGCTTGCTCATGAATCTCCACAGAAATGTACTGAACACCAATCTAGGAGTGTCCACCCAATAGGGATGACTATAGGGCATTCCAACATGGTACGGACCCTTTGCTCCTCTCTTGTCCCCAGCCTCACCTGATAAAAGATAAATGTTTTCAGTGTTTGACAGTCTTAACATTCCATTGCCTACAAGCCCCGATGGAATGACTCTATGATCTGAGAGCCACGCCTTTTACCCTGGTTTATGCTTATTGTTCCTACAATATGCCTTCTGTAATGGACTTACTTCATTGTTCCTCATCATGTACATCACGTTGTTACACATCTTTTGAGTCTTACATCTGTAAGTAGGAGTGGAAGTGCTGGGTCATATGGTAGCTACTTCAGCTTTCCCGAGGAATTGTAATTTTCCTTAACAGCTATACAATTTTGCATTCCCACTAACAATTGATAAGGTCTCCAATATCCCCACATCTTAAACATTTATCTTTTATTTCTAGTTGGGAGTAAAATAAAATCTTCGTCTTGGCATTTACCATTTTAGCAATGGCCAAACCATCTTTTGGGTAGCAACTTAATGGTTAACCACTACACAACCAGGGCTCTTTCAGAGGAACTTAGATGTACCCACCAAGTGGGCATTTTTAAAAACTACAAAATTTGTGACTTTGAGAGAACCTTTCAGCTGGTAGCGGAGTGTTTAACCATTTTACTACCAGGGCACTTTAGGAGCTAAATGGCATAGTACTACCAAGAGCTCAAAATCTCTGATCTGAACTGCGACATAAACTGAGAAACTTTTGGGTATCTCATGCTTCCTTATTAAAGTTCTAAATGTTCAGGATTATGGCTACCATTTACTGTCCTTGAGTTGACAATACAAAATCCCTGTCATCAAGATCATTCTAATTCATAGCAGCCCTGTATGGGGTATTCGGCTTTCATACTAGAAGTGGCTGATAGGTTTGGACCAAGACCTTATTCAGCAGCCTAATGCCACACCACCTCCAGGACTCGTTACAGGTTATACTACATGCTTTTTATATGGGTTGGCATGCCTGGGAAGGCCTGTCCAAAAAATAAAAAATCTGAGAGCCATAGAGGGTAACCAGGACTCAAGAGTTGGTGTTGAGGGGAAGTGATGGTACTGATGACCAACCAATGGGAAGCAAGGGGAAAACTACAAAATATTAAAACTAATGGAACTGTTTTGAAGAGGAAGTGATGTACACTATAGGAATCTCTGCGAAGAACGAGATTGAAACATGGGGAAATATTTATGGCAAACCTTTGAAGGACACCAATACTAACAGAAATGCAGATGACAACTTTCAATATGTATATTTATCTATATATATCCAACTTTTAAAAAACAGCTGCATGTAGCTCTTTCAAGTTTAAAGAAAATGTTTAAACTGGATGCAAACTAATTATCCCAAGAGTTTAATGATCTTGTCTTTATATTCTTTTCACAATTTACCAAACACCTTATAACTTTAAAAACAGGAGTCTCTTCAGTGTCACTAAGGCAATGAATTAAGCAAATTTTTATTAAAGCATAAATTGTGGTACAGATATACATTTCCACTGATTTAAGTCCAACACCATGAAGGGAGAAATATGGCAACAAAACTTCCCCTTCTTTATCGCCACACTAGGATTAATTTTGAATACTATTCAATCTAGTGTTTTCATTCTATTTTCTTTTCCATACAAATTTGCATTAACATAAAAATTATCAAATCTATTAAAAAATCAGACCTCAAGCCAATAAATGTCATTCAATCTACTGCTGGGATACTGCTCAAGAACAAAATCCACTTTTATGAGTATTAGTCCTCAAAACAGGGCACATTACAAACATTAGAGGCTGTGCGACTACCTACAGAATCAGACCGCTCACACCGAATGCTTCCTCAATGAAGCATTCCATCAACTATG